CCGTCAGGACGCTCTCGATGGTGCAGGAGTAAAAGTTCTTGAGCACCTTCAGTGGCAGATGTAAGTCTCTAAGTCTTCTGAGGAAGAAGAGACGCTGACGGGCTTTCTTAACCTGGGTGTTGATATGACAGGACCACGACAGGTCCTGAGTGATGTGGACACCCAGGTATCGGAAACTGTCCACTCTCTCCACTGGCGTGCCACTGATGATGAGGGGTTTGTAATTCCTCGCCTGCTTTGTGGTGAAGTCCACGATCAGCTCCTTAGTCTTGCTGACTTCTTTTTATTCAGTAAGACTGAATTAAAGAAAAATGAATAAATTATAGTTTTTTGCCCTACGTTCTGAATGTCGTGGAGTAAAGATTTGTTTGTTGCTTTATAAATTATTTGTGCAATTCTGAGATTAGCCAAATTTTTAAACTGAATTCAATGATTGTTTTTATCACAACTCACAACAGCAATAATGACTTGTTAATAATTTAATAAAAAATTGATTTGATGGTCTTTTGAAGTTTTGGTGTAGCTCAGGTGGTAGAGCACCTGCTAATCAGAAGGTTGGTAGTTCAATCCTCGTCTCTCCAGTCTGCGTGCCAGATATCCTTGGGCAAGATGCATCCGTCAGTGAGTGCGTGTGAATGTTAGATAGAAACAGTATAGCATGCTTGTGTGGATGAGTGAATGAGGCAAGTTTTGTAACACATTTTGAGTGCTCAGAGTAGAAAAGCGCCATTTAAGAACCCGTCCATTCACCATCTATACTCCACCAGTCTGGATTTTAAGTCAGATGTGTTCAAGTGCAGACTTTGAGCTTTAAGTCAATGTTTTTTCAGAGTTTGGATTAACTGCTGAGAAATTTAGGGTGATGGAGGGGCTGGAGCCTGTCCTAGCTGCAGTACAGTAAGAAGCGGCTTACACCCTGTTTTTAGATGCTCAAAATTAACTGGACAGTTGACTCCAAAGCAGTTTCATTGCCAGATGAGGCTTGTTTCCTTGCTATGTCATCGCAAATGAAGCAGATGCCTGAAGTTGGCTCATAGAGCTGATTTTGTATTTGTAGTTTTGCATTTTTGAATAGAAGTCTCAGACAGATGGCAGTGAATACAAGGTACACCATCACTAGGCTGGAAAAACCCCACAATAAACCAGAGAGAGATGGTAAGACATTTGGCAGTGGCCAGATTAACAATGTGGTACATTCCTAAAAACAATTCGTGCACTAGCCAGCTCTGCAACACTGAAAGACCACAGCAGACAACTAATGTGCCAGAGTTATTTCTGTAACAACATTGTTCACAATATTTCACCAAAAACACTCTACAGGTGCATCAGTGTCGACATCTATAATTTGGAGACCCCATCAATGTGCACTGTATCAATACACACCATCAGTGTTAATACAGAACAATTTGCAGACTACTGGTTACACTCAAGAACAAGAAGATCACATTAAACTTTGTCAGAATCAGCTGGAAAGAAGCTGTAGTTCTGAAAAAACAATTTTTAGACTCATAAAACAAAGATTAACTTTAACCAGAGCGATGGGGAAAGTATTGAGAAGCAGAAAAGCAGCTCAAGATCAGATGGGCTCCTTTCCCATTAGTACCTGCTCGGTTTGATTCGCCACGACTCGAGTTGGATTAACTGGTTTTCCATTATAATCGAGTACCACCTAATGTGCGTTTTCATTGTCATAGCAACGCGTCCAAGTGTCCTGTGACGTAATTAATATGCAACACAAACACTAGAACAAAGGTGGGTGTCGAGGCAAGAATACACCTCCTGCTCGGTCTGTCGCCTTTCGGCAGACTCTGGGACCACGGCGTTGTTCTTTCAGGCAGAGCTGTGCAGAGATTTTTGAAGGGGCGGGTACTGAAAGTTAAAAAGGGGCACATGGAACCAGCGTGAATAACAACAACCCACATTCTTCAAAAATCTAATATGGATTCACATCATTTTATATCACTGTTATCAGGTGGGGACAAGGCAAAGCAAAGGTAGCCTCTTTCTTACCTGATGGATACAATGTTGCTGTTGAGCTGCTGCTGGTGCTGGAGGGCGGGGCTGTGTTCATCTGACACTGTAGACATTTAAAAAGTCTGGTAGCTGATTAAACCAGTGTTGTGAGATAATAATGAAATGCAAAGATTGGTGACAGCGCTATAAGGCAACAGATTACAAAAACTGTGGGAAATAAACTCGGCTCTGCCTCTGAATCACTCTTTGCCTCTCCTCCTCCTTCCATTGCCTCAGCTCACCTATCCCTGTCCACTTGCTGTCCTTCTGAGAACAAGGCACAACTTGCTATTGCTTTTAACTATCCACACTTAACAAATCCCATGATGCTTTGAGTATTTCTTCTTCATGTGTTAACAGACCTCTCTGCTTTGAGTCATACTTGTTATTAATCCATTATTATTAATATTAATTCCACAGCATGTCTTTATCCTGTCTTCCTTCTATCTCCCCAACCAATCACAGCAGATGGCCCCGCCCCTCCCTGAGCCTGGTTCTGTCGGAGGTTTCTTCCTGTTAAAAGGGAGTTTTTCCTTCCGCACTCATGTGGTTGAGAAAAACATTTGATTCTGGAGGTTATTTAAACATATCATGAGATATAGATATTAGATTTTCCTCATCGCTCAGCCCTCGATCAAATAATGAGTTTCCTCAATATTTGAGGAAACTCATTATTAATGTTAACCCTTAAAAACTCCTGAACATCATTAGTACACCATTTCAGTATTATTTTGATTCCTATTCTTATGCTTAAAATGCCTTAACGTTTTGATTTTTTTAATGCACGACCTGTGTGTGCTTGATTTGTGTGTTTTGTCAGCCATTCATGTCCATTCAAGTCTGTCAGATCTACAATGAACTGCTTAAATTGTAGATCTTTGTTGCACTGAGGTGGTAGGCAGACACTGTACTGTAATGTATGAATGAGTTGGGTTTTGCACAAATTTATTTTAACCATTAAAATATCCTCAGACAGGTCAGATACAGACCCAATCAAACATTTAAGACCACTTGAAAAATGTGAGTGAAGTTGCCCCCCCACCTTCTTCAAATCCAACAAAAGTGGTGTCAAATGTTTGTGCTGCAAAATGTTTTGTTTGTGCCGCTACTATCTTAAAAATGATGCGGCACAAACTAACATTTTTGCAGCACAAACGTAGCGCAAACATTTGACACCACTTATGTTGGATTTGAAGAAGGTTGGGGGGGGGGCAACTTCACTCACATACTTGAAAAATGGCAAAAAATCATATTTTTCATGGTTGGATATTAACAGGGTTCCAAGTGGAGCTTCAGCATGCAACAAGAAGAAATGGGAGTGAGACCAAAATAAATTTTGATCATGCAATTTATTGAAAACGACCCTTAAACTGACACAGGCTCTTAGGCCACTTCTATCATCAAGTTATGCGTTACTACTTTTTCAATTTTAGTGTTGTGTTTTCAGATTAAAAGCCACGGCCGTAAGTCTGAACTTAATTTCAGTCATGCTTAATGTACCATCTGAATATATTTACTGATTTTTATTTATTTATTTTAAACAGAGCTTAGGTACAGATGAAAATTACCATTCCGAAATGTGACAGGATGTTGAACCACCACTGCAGAAGGAACCCTGAGCTTCATGAAGAGCTGCAGATCCAGGCTGCAGTGGCAGCAGGGGATGTATACACTGTTAGGAGAATGCTGGAGCAAGGATACTCGCCAAAGATCCGCGATGCCAATGGCTGGACACTGCTTCACTTCTCGGCAGCCAAGGGAAAAGAGAGATGTGTTCGAGTTTTTCTGGAGCATGGAGGTCAGACCCCCAACCCCACCACCTGAAAATGTTTTTGCTGTTAATGCTACAGGGCATTGTGTTACTAAAAAGTGGGCATTTATTCAGCTATGTTAGGTGAAATTTGAAAAGAAGTAACTTCTATAGCATTCAGATAAATATCCCTTAAACACTTACAAAATGTTTTAATGGGTCCTCAATATTCCAGGTAAGGAAATCCCAAAAGTTCATTCTTTTCACCTGGACTTATCGTTCTCAATGGGAGAAGTTTTTTCACTCACCCCATGACTTCTTCAGTGTCAGATGACTGCAGGTTTCCCAGCTCCTTAAACATAAAGAGAACATTTGCATAATTACTGACTCTAGCTGATTATGCTCGTTACCTCCCACTGAAAAGCTTTGTCCAGATGAACAGAATCCACGTTTTGGGATATTATTCATATGACTTAAGATTTATCCAGATACCATTTTGTCGCCCCAGAATATGATTATTATCGTGCATTTTCTGTTAGAATCAGAGAAACCATGGACATACACTCTGGAGATGACGGGCTAGCGCATCCAAATCACATGACTGATTTAAGATAACATAGCAGCCGTGAGTCTCATACACAGAGTCAAGGTGTGCCCCAATTCAGGGCCTGCATCCTTCAAAAAACTACCTGGTCTGCATAGGCCAGGTGCTTTAAAGGCCAGAAGTGCAAGGCTGTTAAATGGGTTGGGTTGCCTAGCAAC